TTCTCTCTCTCCTCTCTTTTTTTTTTTTTTTAAAACCTGATTTTCTAACTTTTCTTAGCAGCATAGCAACAGCCACAATTGTTCACGTCTTCCACTGACTGTTGCTAACAGCGCCACTCTCAAGCGCACCAAGCAGGAACTAACCATTTAACGCAGATAAGGGAGGGGTGGGGTGTTGAGCAAATATGGATGTGTGTTTTTTGATCTGGGAGTGTGAACATTACATTTTTACTGCTAATTGACAGGGGTCCCGATTTTTTATTTTTATTTCTATGAACAAAAAATAAATAATTAAATTGTGGAGGACCCCCTGTTGGTCAAGGCCCCTAGAACTGTCATCACTTTTCCCCCCCATACCGCCCCCTAGACGCCAGAGGCAACAAATGTTATAGTTGGTCATGGGTAATGCCAATTATCTACCTGTGTGGATGGAAAATATTTAAACTTCCAGAAAACAAATTATAAAAGAAATCATCATTTTACGAGTTGCATGAAAACTTTACCACAGTGACAAAGGGAAGCAGTTCAAAAGATGCACGCAATAGATAAGTAACCTAAAAGAAAACTGCTCTTACAAAGGACAGGAAACCATGTGAAAAGTGATTATCTAACTGAAGATGTTAAAGCTGGTCTGTGTGAACCGGTTAATGTTATCACTTTAGCTACTTTTCATTGATTTTGTTGACGGCCTATAGAATTCTGGAATTGGTTAATTTCTTTGGAGTTGCGCAACAAAACAAAACAAAAAAAGAAAAACAATTGTTTATTGAAACAGTACTGAAGTCAATTAAGTTTAATTGACTGTCAAACTTAGATATAACTTGAAATTAACTTTAATTTGACCTGTAACCTTGATCTGTAACTTTATTTGGATCTGTTACATTAATGTGATCTTTAACTTGAAATTCATTTGAATGATTCCTGAGAAATACTCTATGGAATATAGCTATAATTTTTTTTAATTTTTGAATGTTTAGCTATTTTGGATAACAGTTTAACCCTGTTTAAATGTGAATGCTAATTTGTTTTTATTTTTATTTATGACCTTGTTTAGGTCAGGTCTTTTTTTCCACCCCCTGTTTCAACCCAGGATGGCGAGCTACCGGATCACCGCAGCTTTGCGGTAGGACTTAATTGAACCAAACTACTTTATTCATTCTGGACATATTGCCCTGGATCATGGACTAAAACCAGTCAGATTATTGATTGATGGACCATTAATCACCCTGGATTCAAGAACAGACTTAAAATAGGAAAAAACTCTTGGGTGTCATCAGGGTTCATTGTTTTGTTTTTGTTTTTTTTTTCTTGTTGTGTCTTTTGGTTATACTCATAGAAAATCACTATTACTATAAATAATAGTAATATTGAATACCTTCCTAAATATATGCAAAAATGTAAGCTTGAATACAATAACTTGAACTTACTTCCTGTCTGATGGTGTTTTATTCACACACAGGCTCCACAGCTGAACCTTTCTGACTGCCTATTATCATTTGGCCGTAGTCAGGCGCCTAGCCTTAATTAGCATTACAATAGCAAACTGAAAGAACGAGTTCACAAACAACGTTGAAGACAGCTTATTCACATAGTCCATTATCTGTCTCATAGATCCCGGCAGCAGCAATTTTGTTGATAAATATTTATCTTGTACATTGGTCAACAGTATCAATATATTTTTGCTGGTCTGGAAGTCATGGCCCATCTGTGCTTTGGGCTGCTCTTTGTTAGGAGAATAAAAATTATTAAATCTTTTGACTCGTTATATTCTGTCTTCTGCCCGGATTCAATAATGCTGTGCACAAAACCGAGACCACACAGAGGTATCACTGCCATACATAACCAGAATTTATTCAAACAGATGCATACAATCACCACAGCAGCACATCGCAAAACATCAAACTCAAAGCACAAACAAAACATCAATTACCTGAGGGAAGTGGACAAAAAATAGTAAAAGATGGAAAAATACAAAAAATAAGAAAAGGCAAAGACGTCTTTGGAGATGGCTCATGCAGATGCAAACAGCACTTTGAGTCGTTACTCTTGTGTATAAACTTTTATAGAAAAGGCGTGTTTTTCTCTTTAATATATGCATTAAGGAGGAGCTCTGCTTATCCAACTGGAAGCCATCCTGAACTTTCTTTTGAAGTTGTAAGCTTCCTCGCCACCTGTTAAAATATAAGGGAGCAGCTGTTCCTTTACTAAACGATGCGAGAGCAGAGTTCCTTCAGTCTTGCTCTTTGAAACAAGATTTTCCTGATTTACTGGCCTGAACTCAGTGGCCTTTCTAGCCCTACGCGCTACGCAGCCGTGGTGAGCTGCTATCAACCCGGGTCTTTCTAAAACGTCCTCTACCCGATTCCATGTCCTTAGAAGCAAAAGCGCTTTCAAAAATACAGACACGAGTGAAAAGACGTGCATTATAAGCTGAACAATTTCAGTTAGGATGGATACTGTGTACATCAATCGACAAATAAAACGTGTCCGTCGCGGCGCAGTGTGCTGCTGTATGATAGACAGAATGGGTCAGGAGAGGAACTGCAAACCCGTTAGAACCAGAAATCAGCGAATCTTCATCCTCATTCTTCTCCTGAGGCTGATATGGTACAGAACATTTAGCTATGACTGATTAAGTTTCTTATTGTGATTTTAGTTGACTATTGTGGTTTTGATTGTTTGTTTTGGTCTGTGGGCTGGAAAGATGGCGCCGAGCGACCGCGTGAGACATAAACGTCATACGCAGTGATGTAGGTTCCAAAGCTCTATATCTGAGTTCTCATGCATAGTTTTACTCAAAATCTTCAAATCTTCTAAAGCTTTAGTCACAGAGCCATCAGGGGCTGTATTATTTGGAATAAACACAGTATGTAGCAAACCTCAGAAAACGTATAGAATACTCCTCCATTTTTAGCTAGAAGCTTGTCCAGTGCCATCCTATTTTTGATCGTCGTTAAAGAAGTGGGGGCCAACTGGTCCTTCAAGCCTTCAACAGCGTCCCTAGTCAGGTTGGTTAACCTTAAAACATTATAATGGACATAATTAATCATATCTACATTTTTATTTGGCATCACAGGAAATAATGCTGATATGACAGGTAGATTCTCAAAACCTGCTGCAATTTCATCAGATAATTTGTATTGATCCGAAACACCTCTCAGCACACCTATCGCATCAATATAAGTGGGAGAGATAGATGTTAAGTCAAATGTATTAACAGAACGTTTACGAAGCACCTGTCACCTGCTCCTATGTGTAAGTGAGCTGGGCACCTGTCCTGGACTTACAGGGTTAAGTCTTTGTCCTACAACCTTGAGTGGGGCTGCAAGACGCATCATAGCACACACTCCTACAGCTTTATGGGGAATTCGTACATGCAATCTATCACCTCCACAATAATAATAAAGCCCAGATCTTGCCCAATTTCCGACCCTGGATGCTATCAAAGTAACATTACACCAATCACTAGAAATCTGCCCTACATTAAAATCAGGTTTAAGGTATAAAAGTGCCTGTTTGAGTGTAATTATTATTAGGTAGATATATTTTAGCAAGCACAGTACAAAGGTGAAAAGTGTGATTAACTGATTCTCTAGTTAATCCCAGCATGCAGTTAAAGCCCCATTTATCATCCGGATGAAATGGGGCAGGTGAGGAAGTAAACAAGACACGCCTCCATGGTGTTGACATTTTATGTGCTTATAGACCTTGGGATAGTATCACATACCAGCAAACTGTTGATTAGGAGAAACTATCTGACTCTTTGCCAATATTTACTCTTTTTATGGTTCCCCAGTCTAAGAGTGCAGGTGTGACCTTAAGGGATTAAAACTGTTGCCGGTTGATTCATGTTTCGACCCTGAGGTTGAAAGTTTATCCTGGGAAGAAAGTTGAGGAATATTCCATAAAGGCTGTGACTCATGGATATCAGCGCCAGACACAGCAGATTACAGATTATCTATAGGAGTTTTAGTCTATTTTTAAACAGACACAAAGCAACTTACTCATCATTTCTCACCTGTATTACTAAAAATGATATCATTCAAATGATGGTTTATTCAGGTGGGCTTACTCAGTCACAGGGGATACGTGACCTGTCTAGGTAAGAAGGAAGAGTCATTACTTCTGCTGTAATTCAGGAAAGTTTAGTCATGTTTTGTGCTTATGTTGAAATCTGCAAAAATAAAACAGTGAAGCAGATCCCAGCAAAATCACAAAGTAACCTTCAAATCTCATATAAATGAATGTAAATGTCAGAAAGAGAGGTAGATAACAAACTTAACTTTGATGACAAAATTCTTTTCTTTAGCAACTAAAACAGTCACTACAGCCACATTGCATAAGTATGGTTGCTACTCAAAGCACCCTTGCCTTTAGATTTTCAGGATAAAAATATTCTCTCAACACTTTATCTGACAGCGGGAAAGAGTTTTGCAACTCATCTCACAGTCCAAGAAGAAAATAAAAACAGATGTGCATACTTTACTCGCAAATCTCTTGAAAAAGTACTGACAATATAAAAACAATAAAAAATCTTACTGAACTTCTTAAGTCAACATTAGTAGAAGCTTTAAATCTAGAGTTACAACCACATTGGCACTTCTTTTTACATCTAGGATACAAAATGAATTTAAATATTCCTCATGTTTTTGGTTTTCAAAGCATGATTTAACATAAAGCCTCCTTTGGGCCTCATATCCGAGGCACAGTCAGTCTGGTTGCTGCACAGCAGCTATCGGCTCATAAACACCCAGCAGAACTTGAAGTCACTTCTTTAAATGACTTTGTTGCGCTCTGGTTGTGTTGTGTTTCCCGTTGAGCTGCTGATTTGCTCCGGGGTTTCTTTAAAGCAAAAAGATAAGTAATTGGAGACATAAAGTGCTTTAAACTTGGTGCTACAGAAGCAGTAAACCACCGGATCCAGCAGACAGTCCAGGTAGGAGAGGACCATGAGGCCGTCAAATACTGCTTCTGCCTTAAGCTCGTGATATTCCTTATAATACGCATGGCCTTTGACCCTAAAGAACAGCAGCACCATCCTGGCGATGGTGCACGGCAGGAAACAGAAGGAGAAAACCACCATGACGGCGGTCACGAGGAGGACCGCTCTCCTTAGCTTCGTCTTATCCCCAACGGTTTTCTTCTTCAGTCGATTGACGATGCGAACGGTGCAGTAGACCAGGATGATGAAGGGAATGAGGATCTGGGTGAAGAAAACTGCCTCTCTGACTATGTTCTCAGTTTTCTGGAAAAGTAATAAAACGAAAAACAAACTGAGATTGTCATAAACACCAACAACCCAACAGAATGTTCATTAAAAAAATCAGCCATTAGCTTGATAGTCTTTTCCAAGACTTTCAACCAAATGATTGACTCATTTCCTTATTTTCTAATCTGTTCAGAGTAAATAATTGAAATACTGTCATAAGCTGTGACTCTTTTTCCTATAAAGGAGTTAAACTGGTTGCAAAAGAGTTTCAATATAAGATTTCATATACCTTTTATGAATCACATTTTCTATGTTTTTCCCATTTCACACTGGTGATGCAAACAAGAAAAGAGCCTTACCGCCTCCCAAGACGTCTTATTGTCCGTGTTAGTCGTGTTATCGTTGTCGAGGCTGTTGCAGCAGTCAAAGTTCCTCATCATGGTGGGAATGGTGAGAGGCAGAAGCAACACCCAGATGAATATCGAGATGTAGGGAGATTTCTTCAGAGCCTTCAGGAGGTTTTTTCTGCCTGGATGCACCACGTTATAATATCGATCGATAGAGGTCACCGTTAGGAATGCGATGCTGGCGCCACGATTTAAAAACAACATAAACAGCATCGCTTTGCAGATTAACTTATCCTCGCTCCTCCTTTGTTCATTAATGAAGTTATGAATCTTGATTGGTAAACAGATAAGCAGCAGAATGTCAGCCAGCACCAGGTTGAAGAGAAAAATGATGTTGCTGTTGGATTTCCAGAACTTGAGCTTGAATATGAAGAGGTGGAGGACTGATGCATTCAGAGGCAAAGCCAAGATAAAAATCACAATCATCACAGCTGCGTAGAACTTATACAGAACCGGGTTATGAGCCCGACAGTCAGTGATGTTGGTAGTTGGATGCGACATCGACATCATTAGGTCTGCAAATGAAAAGGTAGCAGAATTATAAGAACTGTTATTCCCTAAAACTGAAGAACAAATTGTTCCATAAATGTTGAGATCAGCTGGTAGATCAAAACCCTCCAAACAACAGACAAATCCTATTGAACAAGTTTCTTCTTTGCCTTTGTTATGCTTCAGCGCTCTGGTTTCAGTCCTGGTGTGTGTAAAAAATTGTGTTTTAAAAAGTGTCTGTCCTGCTCTGTGCGACAGGATCTGTGCTGGAAGCCTTTCTCGCAGTAGTTCAGGTCAAATGAGCAGCGTCCCCTCTGAGTTTTTGCTCTCTTCTGAATCTGTGGCTCCTCCTTATTGCCTGAGGAGGTGAGTCATCAGCTGCTTTTCCACTTCTGGACCAGTTTGCGAAATCTTAAAAAACATTCATAGTTCTGCTTCTGTTAGAGGGGCTAAACAAAACCTGGTTGCATATAAAACCAAACTTCACAGTGCTTGGATTCCTGAATGCCCAACTGGAAACTTGTGAAGCTTTGACAAGTCGAAGTAGGAGTCGTGTCAAGACACGTTAACTTGACCTAATTTGAAAGCCAGCTGGAGCAGAAAAAAAGCATTTCACCTTCCAGCAGAGCATGTCACTTCTTTAATTCACATTTCTTTAATGCATAAGAAATGGAGGGTTGCCTTTGGGCCTCAAAGTCTGCATGCTTTGAACGTCTCTTCTATCCCAGCAATAAGTCCAGACAATGTTGCAGATTGAAATATGAGGTCAAGGTCTGGTTCAGAGTGGGGCCTCTTCCCAGACCTAAAGGTGAAATTTAGATGATTAAATCACTCCAGATAGTGTGGACATACCCAAATCTTTGTTTCTTTAATTCTAGTAATAATGTTGGTATTAATCATCTTTTGCCAGCCTGAAACAGGCTGGCAAAAACATGTTTCCTGTTTCAGGCTAATTTGAAAATTACTTTTAGACTCCATTTGAGTTGATTCTTACTCAGGCAAACTTGATACAGGACAGAACGGACAACTTTAAAAACTCAATACAGATAACCCAGCCTACTCACAGCTCAGTATTTGTGGAGAATTTGCCTATTCACAGATGTTTTTCATGAAACATAGCTAAATATTATAGATTGAGAAGCTGAAATTCATCTTCAACTTTCTAGTCATTGAAAGTTGGCTGAAAGGAAGACTGTAGACTTTACCTTCTGCAGGACAGTGGACATCCTCACAGAGACAGACAGTCATTTAGAAAGACCAGTCTGCTTTGGACTTTTAGAGCAAGCTAGAGTACTCCATATAGAAAGACCTCAGGCTAGGATTGCTGCAAGGCAACAGTGCTGCCAACTGTGTCTGTTCAGCTAAATTTCACACAGTCATACACAACTTTTATTAAACCGTCGTTGAAGAACATCACAACTTTCTGTGCTGTCACAAAGCATAGAAGGAGGGAGAACACGAATTTGTTTACAAATCCCAGAGTTGAAGGGAAAACCAGTTGACAGTAAATAGAGGATTTGGAACTAAACAATAAAAGCAGGTTTTTTTTCTGTGGTCTATGAAGAAAATGCACCAATAAATGACCAAGAGTTTATGTAGAATAAACGATTCCTAGAAATACCACAGTGAACTCTTAATCCTGTTACTGAAGAGCACCAACGTGGAATCTGCAGAGTTTAAACTCTGATTATTTAACCCAGTGGAACATTTAATAGAGCTTTATTGGGGATGAGAAAAATATGCAGCCAGCTGAGAACATAAACAATCAGACTGCTGTTCTCAGGCAGTGAAGCCCAGCCGTGACATCACTAGCACTCGGAGTAAAGCTCCTTGCTGCTATAACTCTTTCTTCAGGCGACTCCTCTCACTTTGAACCGGGCCGTCTCTCACGAGGCTGATATGTTTTGCTGTTGCAGGATTTTTCCTGTTCCACCTTCATCCTTTCTCCCACATTAACCAACATTTAATCTAACTGACAACATATACAGATTAAAAGATTATCCTAACATTAATATTTCATTAATTTTACAAAGCTATCAAAGAAGCAGAACAGCAAACTAAAAGCATGAACACACTAGCATGTTATTTGTTGCGTATGATTGGATTGAACTGACTTTTCTTCTTAAAGGTGCTTTGAGACAACATGTGTTGTGAATTGGTGCAATAAAAACAAACTGAATTGAATTAAATAATTTAGCCAGCACTCTTTTTGGTAGCAAGTAGTTAGATTTACTTCAGTAACACTTTAGGAAAAAAAACTACTTTTTTGGAGTACTTTTACTACACTGCACTTTTTACTTTTACTCAAGTAAACATTTTTTTAAACTTGAGTAAAATTTCTGGTTACTCAGCCCACCGTGAGTAACTTCCCTGAATGAAGAACAAGCTTGTTTTAACTAAAATTCCTCCAGAACCGGATGCACACCTGTAGTTTATAATGAAGTTTCACAAGCTTTACTTTGAAAAAAAATCTTTTGCCTGATTTTATTTTGTGATTATGTTATCTATGTGAATAATTTTCATTTGATCTTTAAAACACCAAAATTTCAACATGTCTTGATATTTTTAAATATTAAATAATTGATGTTTTGATCAGTTATTCAGTACTTGAGTCGCCTTTTTGCCCAAATACTTTTTTACCCTTACTTGAGGAATTTCTTGTACAACTACTTTTTACTTTTACTTGAGTAAAAATATGTTGTAGTGCTATTTTTACTTGAGTAAATCCTTTGTTTACTTTATCCATCACTGCTTGCAGTAAGGAGGTCCTGGGTTTGAATCCCGGCCAAGCAGTTACAGACAATGGATGAACGGATGAATAATCTACTGGATTATGATGCTGTTAATCTCACAATGTTAGTAACATCCCAGTTTTGGTAAAATTGCATCAACAACACTGCATAGCTATAAATGTTGCAAAGTTTCAGTACCAGACCAAAACCGCCTGCTAATAACAAAAAGTCTAACTTTTTTTTCACATAACAAATGTTAGCATTTCTTTTTTTTTTTTTAAATATCTGTGATGGTCTGTTTCTGTGGTTAAAAATAAGATGCCACAGGAAACGGGACACTGGCCTTTGCTTCACACGTCCAGTTTGTTTTCCAGTATAGCATTAGCTTACATAATGGGAGCTCAACATTGACAATACTGTTTACATAACACCATTATTTTCCAGCCTTTAGTGTCTGGAGAAACCGTCACACTGATGGATTACTAGAGAGGTGAATACCTGTGAGTCAGATGAACAAACAGTGTCCCAGACACTCATCACTGCTTGACCCTCAGATTTTTTATAAGCAGCTGATTCATTGTTGTTCAGTGCAAGAAGATTTTTATCAAACGACTCCTTTCAAATTTGTTCAACACTCATCTTCTGCTGCTCATAAATGATTCATTAAGGACTTTTGTCTCAGACAACTCATTAGTTGGAAATGATCATCACTGACAATCAAAGGTAGCTACAAATGTCTAAACTGCTCGATAAATCATTAAATCAGGTCATTAAATTCAATAACAAAAGTTTGGTGTTCTGTTCAAGCACTCCACGCCAAACCAATGCAATAAACGCTGCTTATTTGTATTTATCAAAAGTTAACATAGTACCAGAGGGATTTATAAATGACATGTTTAAGGGTTAGATTAAAGTCTGGACTTTGACTAGACCTTGTAAAATTCTGGTTTTATCCTTTTCAGCCATTCAGAAGCAGACTTGCAACATTATCTCTTTCACATAGAGATAATGTTGGCCGTAAAATCAGCCTTTTAAAATTATATTTTGAATGTACCCAAGTTATCTCCTATATGAACATTTTAGGTGTCAAATGCAAAAACAGATGAAATCCGTAAGGACAGTTGTCAGAATTGCGTTATGGATTCTAATAACTGCTGTGAAACGTGTCACCTGGCATTCAGTTACAATCTGACCAGGTGAGTTTTGAGTCTAATTTGATCATTGTTTTCATTGCCACTTGCGTTGTATTGCCTTTTATTTGTGTTTTTTAAAGAAGCACTAATTTTTTGAAAATAGAATACTGTCTTTATTTTGACAGTACATCCCTTAACTGGACTACAGTGTTTCCCACTGAGCCTGCCTGGAGAAATCAGGAAGTTATTGTTAATTTTCAGGCATTGAAGCAACACATTCCCAACCTTGAACATGGAAATTCAATCTGCAGGCCCTGATGAAACAAAAACACAGCTCCTTCTCCACACAAGCAGCAGGTCGAGACCCGGAAAAAACGCAGGCCCAACTCGGTCAGAGTTCAGCATCATGCTGGAACCACAGCTGCGTCTTGTCACAGAGTGCCAAACACAAGTCAAGCCTTAACACCTCCGAAACGCCATGCAGTTCCCATGCATTCCACAGCAGGAACTACTGGTAGCAGCAGTGGCTGCACTGAGGATGAAGATAACCCATCCTCCCAGTGTCACCAGTTTCCCAAGCTCACAGACCTGCATCCCATCTTCTGCCTCTATGATTCCCACTTGGACATACATTGGAGGGTAATTATATCAACAACACTCCCAGCGAATTTCCTTCGATAAGATGAGAAAATCAATATTGACTGTGGAAACTTTTCTCTAAACCTCAATATCATATTCAACTCCCATAGGCACTGGATCATTAGTTTTTAAATGAAACACATTTCCTTCTGTCTGAAAAGAGGATTTTAGAGCACTGAGCAACAATCCACTCCTTTTTCCTTTTAGCCCAGTTAAAATCCTTCTGATTCAGACTCCATCCTCAGTTCACACCTTGTGAATCTACTTCAGCGTCTTGAATGAACAAGCCTCTGAAAGTTCCAGTTACCTCTATTGTTTGTTTACCATTTTTGCAACGTTTTCCACTCAACTTTCCAATAATACTGGGTACAGCAGTCGCTGCTTCATTAGCAATGATATTTTATAGCTTACACTCTGTGTGGAGGGTGTTAAGACTCTCAATCCTACTGTCCCCCTTATGATGAGAAACAAAGTTAGTGATTTTCATCATTTCTGTGAGGCATTATTATGACATGCAGTAAAGAAAATAGGTATTTGATTGATCCATCCATTTTCTTTACACCCTTGTCCCTGAGTGGGGTTGGGAGGGTTGCTGGTGCCCATCTCCAGGTATCATTCCAGGCGAGGTCACCCTGGACAGGTTGCCAGTCTGATGCACGGCAACACAGAGACACACAACCATGCACACACATACTCACACCTAGGGGCAATTTGGAGAGGTCAATTAACCTGACAGTCATGTTTTTGGACTGTGGGAGGAAGCCGGAGAAACCCCACACATGCCCAGGGAGAACATGCCAACTCCATGCAGAAAGACCAGGGCTGGGAATTGAACCCAGAACCTTCTTGCTGCAAGGCAACAGCTCTACCAACTGCGCCACTGTGCAGCCTAGGTATTTGATATATCACCAATTTTTAAAGTTTTCCAACTTACAAAGAATGGAGATGTCAATTATTATTATCATAGGTGTACCTCAAATGTGAAGGACATAATCTGCCAAACATTCAGAAAATCACCATGAGCAAGACCAAAGAGTAATAAAAGTAATCAACCCAACCTCTTTCCCTATTGCTGAAACTGAAGGAGTCTCAG